GTCTGGGTCTGGGTCTGGGTCTGGGTCTGTGTTTTGGTTTCAGGAGCCCACATCGCTATACATACGCCTACTACATTCACGCCCTTCCTACACGCTTCCCCACATCTACACATCCGGTACTATAGTACTAATATCCATATCTACCCCCCATTATTCAGACTCCACGCTCCCCCTCTCACTTCGGGTCGCCGTCTCTGGCAAAGCTACACCCCAACCGCTCCAACGCTACCACTAGCTCTATCAACGGCACAAACGCACTTCTGGCGGCTGATGTTGACGACACCTTCAGCCGATGCATTCTGGATGGCATGGACGCTTACGTAAACATGGTCACAAACACACTCACCCCACTGATAGATGCGGAGTTCTCGGTGTTTATTGGTACGTTTACTGTAGAGACGCTTACGTAAACGTGGTCACAAACACACTCACCTCACTGATAGATGCAGAGTTCTCGGTGTTTATTGGTACGTTTATTGCAGAGACGCTAACGTAAACCTGGTCACAAACACACTCACCTCACTGATAGATGCAGAGTTCTCGGTGTTTATTGGTACGTTTATTGCAGAGACGCTAACGTAAACCTGGTCACAAACACACTCACCTCACTGATAGATGTAGAGTTCTCGGTGTTTATTAGTACGTTTATTGCAGAGACGCTTACGTAAACATGGTCACAAACACACTCACCTTACTGATAGATGCAGAGTTCTCGGTGTTTATTGGTACGTTTATTGCAGAGACGCTTACGTAAACATGGTCACAAACACACTCCCCCCACTGATAGATGCAGAGTTCTCGATGTTTATTGGTACGTTTATTATAGTGTGTGGGGGAGGTTGTGAATCTCATGTGTGATTGACTTACAGACGACCTTTAGTCCACCAACCCACCTACAAAACCCTACAACCTAAGCATTCGTGGATGCACAATACCAGTCCATAAATTTATCTCTTTCTCTCTCTCTATCTCTCTCTCTGTATATGTATATATATATATGTGTGTGTGTGTGTGTGCTGTGATATACATATACAGAGATACTAAAGCGGCCAGATGATCTGCTGGACGTATTGGTGCCCGTGACTTCGCATCGACTGTTGGCTGTGTTGATTAAACACGCACAAAGCTTTGGTTATCATGACCGCAGACTGTGCTGGTCATTTCTAATGACACTCAGTCGCATTGTGTTCCCCGGCGAGTTCTCGGAAGATGGGAAGGTGTGTGGTATGCACGTGATAGCATGTCCCCTGTATGGTATGTATATGCAGCATAGACATCTTACAACTTTTGTGTGTGTATTTATGTATA